GCTTCACTGAGTTACGCAAGCCCCTTCGCCACGACAAGGCAGTGATCCATGAAGGGGGAGACATCACTAAGCGATAGCAATCCTGGCACTTCCCATTATGCTTGTTAAGTGAATCACCAGTCATTAGCCGAGCTATTCAGGGCTTGGTCCCTCCCAGCCTTGAGCCTCAGTAAGGTAAGGGACTGCCTCCAATTCCCCCCATCCACCCCCTATCTCTGTCCTTTTGGCTGCCCTGCACCCTGTCTTGTAGGGGAGCAAGCAGTCCCTCCTTTGCTTGCTCCCTCACATGCACCAGTGCCTTCCTTCCTTCCTTCACTCACTTGCATGCACCAACATCCTCCTTCCCCCTTCGCTTGCTTGTACTAGTGCCATCCTTCCCTCTTTCCGTTACTTGAGAACTCTCTAGGGGTGCTTCCAGCATGCATTCTGAAGCTCACATTGGAAGCTGCTGGCCATTCATGAGGCTTTCTTCTTCCTCCTGCAAAGCTCCAGAGCTGCAGTGCAGCACGAAGGGTGCACAGTGCATGCAAGCAAGTGATGAGGGAAGGAAGGCACTGGTGCATGTGAGTGAGCGAAGGAGGGAAGGAGGCCATGGTGCATGCATGTGAGTAAAGAAGGGATGGAGGGTGGAGTGCATGAAGAAAGGACAGGGTGGGTGGGGGAGATTTACCCAAATGACTTGTGACCTCCCCTGCTGGCTTGCCCATTGACTTTGCTTGTGGGAAGCTGGCAGGGGAGGTTGCAAATGGCAATCATGTGATCTCAGGGTGCTTGGCAACCAGTCGTAAGTGCGAATGGGTTGCCAAGCACCAAGATTGTGATCACATGACTGTGGGGGTGCTGCAACAGCTGTAACTTTGGGGACCAGTAATAAGATCCATTTTTTCAGCACTGGTGTAACTTTGAACAGTTGCTGAATGGTCATAACTCAAGGACTACCTGTAAAACCAATTAGACAGATGAAATGTAGCAGATGGTAAATCCCAAACCAACTGCACACCAAACAACCCCTCCCAAATCAGAAAAAAATAGGCTTAAATTGGAGATATTCAGTTAGATGTTGGTTAGATGCCAATAAGTCAGTTTGATTCCTGGCAACTGCATGGACAACTGTTAAACATCTTGAAGTTCTTCCAAGAAGAATCCTACAATTTCTTTGATCCTATCCATCCATTTTATCAGTTGTCTTCCCCTTCTTTTACTTGTACCATATTTCCAAACATAATAACCCTTTTCTAATCCATCATCCACTTATACCACGTGCCCAAAGTCTATGCGTTTCTGTTTGCTGATTATCACGTCAAGGGAAAATCAGTCTTTCTCGGGTCCAGGATTCAAATCCAATAACCTTATTACAGCCACAAGGCCAGAAAACAACAATATAAAAACTAAAAAGTAAATGAATATATAT